CTAGCAGGGTATAGCAGTGAGGCTGAGCAGCAAGGCCTTGGTGCAGGATGCTCAGACTAGATACTACTTGAGTCGTTCAACTACACATTACTATCCTGGCTCCTCTCGCTAAGTGAAAGTCAGGGAGAGCTGTGCCTTTCACTGATAGATTTCTGGTTCCCATTGCTGCAGATTCCTGAGAAACAAAACTGCTGGAATTATAAAAATAACAGCATATTCAGATGCACAGAAAGTACATAGAATTTTTACATTTCCATCCACAGGTGAGGGCTGCGATGTCTCTCTTGCAGGGAAGTACAAGATCACTTTGCTTCCCATTTCTTTTGTTCTGTTCAGAGAAAATTCCTGTCATCATTTAACAAAATACAATCCAGACTCAGAGAATTCCAAAGGTCTTGTTCCTTCTCTGAGAATCTTAAGCTTGCAAACATCTGCATGACTGTATTTAACTCAAAAGGGGGAAATCCATACAGGCAGATTATACTTAAACATACCTTGTCAGTGTAGCTCTGATTCTTCCTCTTCAAGAATTACCATAGTCACAGAAATGCAAGTTCTCTTCCAAGAAAACTTCTAGGCTGCTATTCTCAATCTAGTGGAAGCAAAAGCAGCTGAGACACTGCTGGATCCACGCAGTGAGATGAGACTCAGATGACAGCAGATGAGAATCCCCAGAGCAGGGATGGACAAGGCCTGAAACTACTTCAAAGTTAAAAGAAAAGAAAGAAAAGCCCCAAAACCCAGCTCAGAAATTTGTGACACCAACACCACAGGTGATAGGAACTGATGTCGGGAAAAAATAGGGTGTGTCATCAACTGCTACCGATGACTAATACTGATACCAAACCCCATGTGAAGATAAAAGAAGGGTTTGCAGACTTCAGCTGTGTTCATGAAACACACACCTAATGCTGACCTTGAGAAGCCTACAGCAATCAGAGCAGAGTTTTGGGGCAAGCCAGGCGTGCTCAATATTAGCACGACATGAATACCTAAGGAAAGCAAGATCCTTTCTAACCAACTTTTTGTAGCTGATGTGCAGTTCAGGTGGTCTGTCCTTTGCTATGTAAACCATTCTCGCCTATCTTAGAGCTACCAGTTCCATGTAAGGGAATATTTTTGACAACTCTGCATTCCACACCCCTCCCCACCCCAAATCAAAAACATCTTTGATGGTTACTCCTCCTTCCCATGCCTGTATCTGAAAATGACACAAACTGCCAGATGTATTGTTGCAGCTGAGCTCTGCTTGTGCAAGACCCGGCAATGAGGGAGAAAGTGAGTATAAATTACGCTTGTGTTTCTTTGGTCCTAGGATGAGCTGCCAGCAGTGCAGAGGCAGTGCTGGCAGCTACAGATCCCTGAGAGGTTGTGGTGGGCAAGCTACGAGACCCCATATGGTGTGAAAACCTACTTCTAGCTATAGTATCCAGAGGTGTTGCAGGTATTGTGATATAAACAGTTGCACCTGCCTTCTGGCTGCGTTGCATGGCCAGAGGAGTGGATATGAGCTGAACCGACTCCAGGATCTAACACAAAACCCTATTCATTGTTCCCAAACATGTAACAAAATGGGGTAAAATTAATCCTAATTGTCTGAAGTAAGTGGAGTAAAACAAGGAACTAATGCTACTAAGCAAAAATAGAGATTTTAAAAAATATCTGTTATTCCGTGATATGTTCTCTGCTTAGCACCATTCGGAGGTAGTGCACATATGCAGCATTGCTAAGAAAATGTAAACAAGACAATCTGAACATTGCTTTGCAGAGTCAGGTCCATTTCCTGAAAAAACCCAGTGTATAGCTCTGCACTTAGCCGGCACGTCCAGTTACTGAGACTGAACTACGTGCATTTGGATGGAGTTTCTTGATGGTCCTTTTTTTTTTTTAACTGTCTTTTGACATCCAGACCCAATCTCTAATCAGATTTATCTTTGGCCTCAAGATCCAAGATTTCTGCAATCAACAAAATTAAGTGCTTTTACTGACATCCCCAGTTCTGCAGAGAATTAAGGTCTGCAACAGTTTTCCATTCCTCTCTCCATGTGGTATTTCTGAAAATGGTTTTGATTTTGACTTTTGAGTGCAGTGTTCAGTAGCCACTTCAGTACAGAATATTAAAGATGGCAGAACAAATTGAGGTTTAGCCTCTTATTGAAGGTAAACCTAAAGTTAATCCCTAACGTGTAGAAAAATGAGCAGAAATGAGAAACCTTTCACAACTGACAACTAAAAAGACACATCCCAAAATATTAATCTTTAATTGACACATTGTTCATTCTTGCAGGGTTTTCTTTAAAGGAATTATCCTGGGAATGCCACCGATAGCATTAAACAATACTTATTTGTGTTACATCTGGTTTAGCCCTTTATTTATTTATATTTTACCTGAAAACGTATTTTCTTAAAGACCTTATAACAGCATTTCTGCATTATCAGTTCATTTAGTTATCTTCTTTCCTGGATATATTAGCCAGGAAAAGGAATCCCCAGTCTGTAACAGACAGATTAATTCACATATTTTACTTTGTCCACATAGAAAAATGCAATTTCTGGATCATTGAGGCATATGGATTATGAACAAGACACTCCAAAAACTAACTAACTATCTAGACGGGAATATACTTACAAAAATCTTTTATGTCAAAGTCAGGATTTCACAACATAACACGCTAATGCAAAATCCAGTAGCACCTGAAAGATTAAGGTAGCTGCTGCTATCACTTGCACATACTTGAAAAAGATTTAAGAAAAGAATAAAGAGTAAAAGTACATTCTCCAGAGAACAGCACGTGTATTTCAAAATAAAAAACTGTATTTTTTATTTTTCTTTTTTTTCGGGGGAGGGGTATTTCTGTTAGGTTTTTTGGTAATTCTTTTTGCCTTTTTTTTACAAGACTGTAGTTGCCATGTAAGAAGTTATACGCCATGTGACTGATCTCCCCTCCAGTGCAAGTTCATGGCCATGTTTTCAGGCTATAGTACTCAACACTGTTTTCTCCTATACATATTCCCACAGTTTCATCAAAGATAGATACAATGTATAATACCTGTCTCTGGGAAAGTAATGTTTCAAACAGGCAACTTTTATCTTAAAACACAAGTGGGAGAGGCTACAGTAGGATTAGCCACCTAAGTATGAACTTTAGGTCACAATTTCTAAACACTCACCTACTGTACATAAACATTAAAAATAATTTTAGCAATAGGATTTTATTTATATGTGCACGTATGTCCACCTTATCCCATATTTATGTTTGGCAACTATTTGGGAATTCAAAGGTGCAAGCCCTCAGTAATTGTATTATTTAAAAAAAAGAAATGAAATGTATCTACTATATGAGAAACGAAATTCTCAAATATCAATTTCCAATTTTAAATTTAATTTCAATAGGAAAATATTAAAAATGTGCACATCTAAATTTTTCCATGTTCTGTATATACATATGTGTGTGTACGTATACATAGAAATACCATGTACCACACATATTCACAAAATTTAAGTGGAAATATTTCTGTCCACTATTTTCCCACATGTAAATGACATCATATCTTTAAAAATGTCAATAATAATATCAATAAAAATAATATTACATTTATTCCATCATCAGCTTTCTGTGTTTTTATTCTTTCTTCATCCTTATTATGTCCACTGAGCATTAAGAGGCCCGATTCTCCTTGCACTGCCACAGATGCTATGCCAAGTGAATGTTGCTGACATCACATCAAGGACACATCTGGTTTACAGCAGCTCAAGTGACAGGAGAATCAGGCCCAAACATCCCCAGGTAAATTAAAAACTGCTTGTATCTGCTCATCTGGACTTGATGAAGATATACACACCACTGTCTAAAATCCACCAAATGAAAAACATGTAGTTCACCACAAAGTTTTCAGCCAGTAGCACGCTAAACCAAGCTCCCCCCAACCCTTTAATAAATAAAATCAGTGAGAAAATACCCTAAAAATATGGAGAAAGCTTAAACATTGTGTACATTACATACCGTATAATACATGACGGTTTAGCATTTGACGTAAACCATTTCCCTGACTAGTCAGGGGAGACCTGATAAATCACTGGTAAAGAAAAAAAAACGGTATTTTAGAAATAAAGTATGTATTTCTAATATAAATGAGAACCTGTGTGTATTATATGGTACATACACACAGTACACACATGAAAACAAACTTATTTTTTCTGGTTTTGAATAGCAGTCTCTAACTGGAGAAAATAGTGTTGTACAAATTTAATAAGCAGCTAGATTTCATGTTTAACATTCAAATTAATTTGGGGAGCAAACAAAGGTCCGTGCATCTTTCGACTCTGAAGTCTGACATTCATACATATTAAAAAAGCCCTCTTCAACATTACAAGCAATTTATGGCAAGAATGTACTTTGATGCAAGACACATGACACTTGGCTTACCTTTCAAAGAGGTTTTTTTTCTAAATAAATCTATTATATAAAGAAATGTGTGTTTGCCAAAAGTCTGTTAAAATTACATCAAAACAACTTTAAAACCTGCTCACTGAGGATAACTGAATCCAATTTCCTGTTTTTAAACATTTAGTTAACAGTTCAGAATATTGCCTGGTGTAGTTTCAATAAAGATGTGATATGAAGACCCATAAAGGAGTAAACATGTCTCCATTTCAATTTGCTATGACAACAAAACTTCTAGAAACAGCTTTCTTGGCTGGACAAGTTCAGTGTACGAGTAATCCCTTGCAATAGCTCTATGCCCTTAATGCAATCGGTAATAAAACAGTGCTCCCCATAAGCCATTATTCACAAAACCTGAAATTCGTGTGACATTCTGAAAAAGTCTCCTGCAGAACAGGTTAACAGTTAATTGAACATACATATTCGATATATGTATCAAGGCCAGAAAACAAACAACTGGCTATTCCTTGTTATCTGTGCATGTCAAATTTTACATTTAAAATTCTCAGGGTTTTTTTGCCTTTTTTTTTCCTGGGGGACTCACCTTCTATCATTGGTTGGCTTCAAAATATAGTTAAGTGGAAGATAGTATCTCACTGTAATTACATGGAATTCATATGAAAAAGTAAAACTTACATTGGACAATATTGTAGAACACCAGAGTAAGCTCCATAAAGAAATACGGTATCTTCCAGTATATATATATATCTATATATATATAAAAAAACCCAGAAAACAACCAACCAACCAATCAACCAAAAAAAACCCAAAAGGAAGAACTTTATACAAGCAGTTATAGCAACTTTGTTTCAATTAAAGATGCAACTCTCTCTCACTCCTGGCAAGAATAAATTGGTAATGGCACTGCTTCTCCACAGTGCAAAGTATCCTGAGAAATTATTAAGAACAACAAAATACAGGGCTGTCATCACTAAGTTCTTGCACAAAACACAGCAATTAAATATCTTAAATAAATAAAACAGCAGATAACCTATATTGTATCTATCACAAAAAGGGGATGTGACCTGGGACACTACTAATTCTTCCATCACTGATAATTAGAAAAGGATTGCATTCAGTTACTGCTAATATCTTTCAAGTTATCTATGGCCAATAATGTACAAGGAGGTAATTTGTAATTCAAGTTTGTTTGTTGTTTTTTTTCTTCAACTAGCTACAAGCTAAGTTCTAAATTTTACATTGAAATATGACTCAATATTTAAAACAAGCCCTCTCAGAGGAGCATTTTCTAATTTTGTGCAACTTTGATGCGGAGCCCAACACAGTCCTATGAAGAGAGACAGTGCATCTTTAAGCTGATTGGCACTGAAATCCCATTTTCTTTAGCTGCATTCTATTAGCTTGGCCAAGTTATCTCGTAACTCTGTTAGTTCAAATATTTTTCCATCAAGAATTTCTAAAAGTGTCTTCAAGTTATTGCGAAAAGCTTCTTGCTCATTCTGACTTTTCTCCAGACGTTGCTCTAGATCAGACAGCTGGCCTTCCAGGTCTTTGTTTCGAATTTCTACTTCCTTCAGAGAAAATACATAACATGTTAATGTGTTGTCTGCAAACAGAAAGCAGGCTAACCTCCTGCTGGTATTCGTGCGCTGTTTTTGTCAACTGGTTTTTGAAACAATTTGTGACCCTTTATAGTTTCCACTAAGCCAAAACCAGAACCCAAATTGTTATTAGGATTGCATATGCACTATCATTTCCTCCATTTTTTTCAGTAATTCATCTGAAGGACAGAAACTTTTGGACAGGGATAAAATTTAGTCAGTGAACAACGGATGTGATATTCAGGTAAGTTATCGCTTCTATCATTCAGAAATATGCCACCTACTGAAAACAGCTTCTCAAAGGTTTACTTAAGTTCAAGTATTCCCTGATTTAGACTACATGAATTGCTCCAGGACATAGTCCCCATTAAATGGTCTCATACAGAAACTCATCCAGAATACTGCTTTATGGATGGAGGAGTACTACCTTACTCCTGTCCCACATTGAAAATTAAGACAGAAACATAAACTAGCAAGACTGATGTCAAGGTGAAATTTATTGTAACAAATTTAAACCAGCAAGTGCAAGCTGAATGTCTTGT